ATTTTAGTCTTTCAAATTGGTCGAATTAAAGCTGTCTTTTACTGCGGATTCTTCGCCGCTCGATTTTGCAGTCGAATTCCTAAGCAAGAATCTGTCTTTTCTGGACAACTCTTACGAAAAAAGACCTACAAGAATACGAAAAAATTATAACAATAATATATTATAACAATAATATATGAAGAACTACTGTTATATGAGTAATTTTTTTAATATCGTAGTTTTTTTCGTACTGGAAATAAGTGTTCAATGTAACTTTGGCATTCGACAAAGCTCTATTTTACATATTTATTCTTTTCTTTGGCTCAAGAAGACTAGAGACCAGGAGACCGAACTCTTTAGAATTTCAGTGGTGCGGGTAAGTCAATATACGGTCTCACATTTCATGGGTGCTGTTCACCTTGTGGAAATTTATCTCTAGTCACAACAATGAATAATTTAATATTGTTTTATTTTTTAAGAAAAATCGATCATAGACGATTATATTTTATTGTAATTTCTTAAGTGTATAAATTTATAAATTATATACTTTTTTTATTACGAATTAAAAAATATTAAAAAGAAAAAGAATTGAATTAGTATTATCAAAAAGTTTCAAGATTTGCAGTTATTAAGATTACAATAATTACAGTCATATCTACTTATTCTTCTTTGAGGAATTTTATTTTGTTAAGAAATTTCTTTATTTTTATTCGTTAATTATTTGCTTATTAAAGACCTTTATACTGCAAATTTACTCTTATTTAACTTTAGTTATTGATTACATTTTATTATACATCTTGCATTTAAAAGAGATAATTATCATTCATAAACGATAAAAAAAATAGAAATAAATTTGCAAATTAATGTAGTATCTTACCAAATTAAGAAAATATGTACATACCTTACTTTTTCAATCTTCTTTACGATTTCCTAAAGAGTCTTTGACAGAATCTCAATTATTTTATTGAAATTTCTTTTACCGAATATATTTTTCAAACGAAAAAAGAAACATAAAGTTCACACTTTGAAGGGGATCGATATCGATTAATTTTTAAAGTGTACTGTAATCCATATTCAAGATTTAATAAAATTATGTAGATTAATCGAGATGTTCGATATCAGTTGAGAATAATTAAAGAAAATGCATGAGCGGACTGAATAATTTTTCGCGAAGAAATGAATCACACTTTAGTCTATGATAGATTATTATGATAAAGTCGTATTTCGAAAGCCTCATCATAGCCTGTTAATTGTACGCACGTACAAATTGATTAGACAAATTAAGAATTTTGAAAGTTTTTTTTGTGAAAGAATAGCATCAGATTTATTTATTGTAAGTAGTTTATTTTAATTATAAAAGTTTTTGAAATTAAAATTAAACATATCGGTTCTTGAACAAACCCGATTCCTGAATAAAAATAGGCATTCTTTATTTTTATTTAGGTAAACTTTTATTTTGAAGACAAAATTTATACGTCAAAATAAAATATATAGATTTTAGCGAAAAAAATACTTACCGCATACCAAAATTTAATTGTATTATTTGAGTTATGAATTTAAAAGAAGTTTAATATCATAAAAACGCATATTTTCATTCATGAATTAGTTCATGTATCTTAGTAGCATATAAATATAAAATTTTTATAAAAATGATTAAATATTACATTAATTTTAATTTATATAAACTTATTTAGCGTCTAGTTTTATGCAACTTTAGCAAAAAGAAACACAGAAAGCGATAATATTTTTATTTAGGTGTACTGTTCAGATCTGTGGAAGAATAGAGGGTAAAAATGCATTGTATAAGAAATATTCAACCATTTCCAGACTTTTGGGACACCCTGTATATATGTATATATATTTGCTTGATTTGTTCTTACAAGGGACATGTTACAACTGTCCGGAACCGATTTAATTCTTCTTAAAATATATTGTTAAATACACAAATCTAGAAGACACATATTTTTTTATAGGTGCGCAATATTTAATCCTAAAGAAAAATACCGTTTTCCTTTAAAGGGGTGTTTCACCCCTTAAAACATAAAATGCGCACGTATAAAAAAAATACGTGTCTTTTAGATTTGTGTATTTAACAATATATTTCAAGAAGAATCAAATCGGTTCCGGACAGTTGTGACATGTCCCTTGTTAGTGTATTTGTAGACAATGATTGTATATACAAATTTGAAAACTCCAAAAGTTTTTGTCACATTATATGATAAAATGTAATAAAGAAATATTTAAGACAATTCGATACATGCAGATTTCATCCGTATATTTGTCATTTTCAACGGAAACATATATGTTTTCGCAATTTTTTCTTTTATTTGATTAAAAACACTTTTCGATTGGAAACATTTTCTTCCTAAAATAAAAATTAACACAACACATTTTTTAATACTAATACAAATATAATATATTTGATAAGTATTTGATAAGGACTTATTATTAATAAGTTCGTACATCCACACACGAATACCCTATATCTTTTCATTGTTTTCAATAAATTTTTAGTAAATATATTAAGTCATATAGTAGAATTTATCTATGCAAAGCATGATCCTATCAGTAAGCAGACAGGCAACCTGCCTACCGCTCGTACGCGCGCCGTAATTCGCTATTTCTTTTAATATCTCAAAAACTAAACTTTGAATAAAATTTTGGCAAAGGAAAAATCGTCTTAGAATCGAGTCAGAAATACGACATTTTAAGAACAAACGGTTGTTTAGAATCACCCTGTATATCTCGGCAGTTTTAGCAGAATCGTGAGGATAAATTGTTGCCACTTTTATTTGATACGTAATGTGTACTTGTAAATTCAAGAAAATAACGACCTATTTCGCTATTCTCAAGATACATTTTAAATATATCTTATCCAGCACTGCAAGTTGGAAGTCAACCGGCAACTAAACAAGAAAAATTTTTATTATATATTGGCAGTTATAGCAGAATTGTCAGGATAAATTGTTGCCAGCCTTTCATTTGGTACGTAATGTGTGCCTTTAATTTCAAGAAAATAACGACCTATTTCGATATTCTTGATTCATTGCGGCGTTGTTAATTCCAAAGCTTCTAAAATACAAAGTGCAGCTTAAAATTATAATGTAAATTACAATCTATTTTTTTAATTGATTAGAAGCCGCACATATGAATGATATTTAAGTCTCGAATTGAGGTTTAATTCCAAATAACTCTTAGCATCGTATCAAGCAAAATTCATGTGCACAACAAAATTATTCAGTTACAGCAAAAAATTTATTTCGTTATCACTGTGACACACCATTATCTGCTTACACTCTTTTAGTGAGTTAAATTCAAATTTCTAGTCAATATATACAGATTGCAAAAATGCTAATAAAAATATAATAACTACGATATAAACAACATAATCAATAAAATATAGATAATAAAATAAGAAATAGAAACAATTAAGTTAAAAAAGGTAACAAAATAAACCAAAATAATAAAATATTATTTGATATTATGCACAGAAGGATGCATGAGTTCGTAGAATAAACAAATCATATTAATATAATTTTAAATAAAGACGTATTTTAATGATATTCATACCTTCTGCCATATAACAAAATTCATTATCGTTGTTAAGAATTATGTAATATGTTTGGTGCTTTTGATAATTATGACAGTAATTTGTCGGCATTAACCACTTGTGCTCACGTGTAAAGCAGAACTTATTCAAATGATTAGGTCTTTTCTTATTTTCTAAGTTAAACTTAATATGTTCATCTTTGTGTCGATGCCATCCGATTATTACACCTGTACAACTATTAACATCATCTGTATGTTTTACTATCATTCCAACCGCAAATTTTACGTTTTCCCGACTTATATTCATTTGTTCGTTGAAATAAAATCGGAGCTGGAAAGTACAATATTAGATTTTAAATGATTTTTCTTGTCAATTAATTCCTAAACAGATTTTTATAGCACGTTAAATTACAGTACATAGCACTTAAATTATAGATATTTTTAACTTGTATGTAATTGTATGTAATTATCAGAGAGAGTTTTCAGAGAAATTATATATATATATATATATATATATATATATATATATACAGGGTGTCCGGTAACTAACGAACCAATGATTAAGGGCGGATTCTCTGGCCAATTCGGAGACGATTTTTCCTTAGCAAAAATGTTGAGAAGTCAATAATTTTCGAGTTATAAGCGATTTAAAAAAATGGGTTTTTTGAAAACTAAATGTTTTGGAATTAAAAGTCTAACATAATTACATTCTTCATTTAATTTCAGGTAGACTTTACTATAATAAAATTTTAATTTGAGGCTAAGTTATAAAGATACATAATGACAAATATTGGAAAGTTGTAAAAAATGATGGCTTTTTTCGACATTTTCGCTGAGGAAAAATTGTTCCCAAATTGACCAAAGAATCCATTTGTAATCGTTGGTCCGTTAGTTACCGGACACTTTGTATATATATATACAATATATACATATATAAGTAATTATAAAAATACATATATAAATATAAATAAAAATATAGTTTTATATTATAATTTATTGTTGTATGATTTATAAATATTTTTTATTAATAATTAATTCTATTTTTATACTCTATATTTATTTATTTATATCCTTTTATATATGTCAAATATTTACAAGTGTTGAACTGTCCAGCACAATTTTAAATCTTGGTGACATATCTATAGACATTTAATTAAAATGTCTAAAAATTTAATTTGAGTGTAACTTTATGTAGTATTAAGATATACTCTTACAATTAAGGAGTTTACACACACAGCAAAAACAAAGAATTGCAAAAATCTCAAGAGTTCATACTATTATAACACATAATGTTATTCAATAAAACGTTTTAAGAAAATAATGACATACTTGTTACAACTAAAATATAAATATATATTATATAATTATTAATATATATTATCCATATTTTATATATGTATATCAATATATATTTCATGTATATTGTTTTATAGATGAAAAATAAAATAAATGGAATAAAATCGCAACTTATTAGTGTGTAAACTGCTCTACGAAATTATCTTGTAGATAAAAAAAATTCTTTATAATAAGTAAACATAACTTTAAATTCAACATAACGCGCATATAGTAAAAGATTATTTTATCTTCAACGTTTTACACGACGGAGTTATTCCAGCTCTCCAGCCACTGAATGCTCTGCTTGCTGTCAAGAGTGTCAATATAATTTGACAGATCATCTTGGTGAATCCCAGTAGCAGCACAATACAAAATTGCAGTATTTTCTAGTAATTCTTGCAATGGTTCCGTAGTCGACATGATTTCGTCTTCGAACGAGGTTCCTTTCTGCTCCAGTTTTGCTTCAGTCACAACAATTTTGCGCTCCTTGCAAGATTTAGCAGCGGACTTCTCTCTTATGTATTTGTTTAAGCTCATTTGCCGATCAACGAGAGGGACTTGGTTACTCTCCGATGCAGAGTTGGGTAATAACTAGTTAATTAGTTAAAAGTTAAAAAAATTAAAAAGTTAATAATACTTTTAACTTAAATTTTAAGTTAAATTTTTTTATCTCTGAATACCATTACTGTTTTTTTTACAAGTTATAAATGTATTATTTTTAAATTAAAGTATTATTAATTTTTTATGTTTATTTGTCATCAATTGTAATTACCAAAAAATATATTTCTATATAAAAATCAAAATTTCTTTGTTGTTATAAATTTTAAAAGAATTAACAAATAAAATTCTAATTGAATATATATATATATATATATATATATATATATATATATATATAATCAGAAAGAAATATTTTTATCGACTCTCAATATTAAGAATATAAATATGATGTTTTTTTTAAATTGGCCAACAGAGCCAAAGCACGAAAAATTAATTATTCGGAACTGTATCTCTTGATTCGAGATCACTAAGTTCCATATATAAATTAATCTCGAAACTTACATATGGAGAAATAGGCGCGAAAAATATAGATCCGAAAAGTCGCTGAAGAGATACAGTTCCGAATAATTAATTTTTCGTGCTTTGGCGCTGTTGGCCGATTTAAAAAAAAACATCATATTTATATTCTATATATATAATGTTTTTAAAAATGAACTTTTGGTTTAACTTTAGTTAATTTAATTTTAACTGAACTTTAACTGAGTTAATTTTTTGTTCCTGCAACTAAATTAATTTTATAAGCAACTAACTTGGTTTAAAAAAATCATCAACTTACCCAACACTGGTCCGATGACATCGAACAGCTGTTTTGGCTATTTTGAACACTCCTAGGGAGTTCACTGTTTCTGATCTTTTCCCCTAAGATCGAATTGTATCTCTTCCACTTTTCCTGCGTGAGATCGAGGTCCGAATTTCCATCCGGAATCACGAAGTTTGGATTTTCCTCCGCTGTTATTGCACCTTTCTGCCAGATGTTCTTCGGCAAAGCTTTGTTGGCACTCGAATCGTAAATCCGATTGTGTGACGCGGACTTCCTCAACGTATCACTGTTGTATTCCGACAGAATTCTGGCGATCTCCGAAGTCTCGTTCGTACTGTTCTTCATCATCAGGACTTCATCAGCCGATTCTCTAACAATCCTCATTTTATCATAGCTTCTGCCTTTGTGGCTCTCTTTCACGACCTGGGCAGTCTTCTCGTTCTCCAACTGGTCCTCCAGAAAGGTCTTCTTCGTCGTATTCGCGGAATATCTCTTCAAGGTGTACAGATTATTCGTCGTCGACGATTTCTCGTGTTCCAAAACCGGTTTGCCGGCAAAAACCAGGTTCTTATAGATCGACGACACCTCACTTGGTGTCTTGACGTCTTCCAACTTCGCTGGTCCGAAGCTGTCCTTCGCTGAGGAGTCTTCGCAGCTGGCTTTCTCCGAATTCCTCAGCAGGATCAAGGAGCTGCACGAGGCGTCTCGCAGGATCCGTTTCAAATTCATTCCGATTGTCTCTCCGCTCTGCGGAATCATTTTTGAGCTGTTTTGTGCTTCCGGTGTAAACGTTGCCGAAGACGAGGGACAAGTCGCGACGGGTCTTCGACGGTTCGGAATATTTTTATTCCGAGCTACAGCGATGGCTTCGATCAATTTTGCCGTTTCGGAGGAACTCGCGGTTTGGTTAGGCTTGAAATTTGCCATCCTTGCCGGTGCTTCCGCAAATGCGGGACCTGTCAACTTCAGCTGCTCCTCCACCGCTTGCTTATAAACTGGGGCCATCACTTGCGAGCAATAACCGAGCACGCAGTGAAGACTTCCGTGCATGCACGTCTCGAAAGAGGTGTCTCCCCCGGAGAAGTAAGCGTTCCATGTAACTTTGGGGTTTGACGAACCTCTGCCTTTCACCCTCGTCCTTCTCTTCGGCTTCTTCTCGGCGGAAGAGGCCCGTCGATCGCGATGTGGATCGACCGCGACCACTTCGATTTCCGGCTCGTCGATTATCTCGCAGAGGGAGAATCCGTCGAGGCTGGTGAAATATCTTCCTAGGTACTCCACTGCCAGACCAGCCTGGAAAATTAAATTAATGGGATTTTTCAATTTTTTTAAAATTAATTTGTATTATATTGAATATTTTTCTTTTTATTGAAAGGAAAAATTATTGATGGAAATATTTATAAATTATATATTTTTTTCTATTAAGAATTTTTCTATTAAAACGTGTTATAAATTATATTAAAGAGAAACAGAGTATATTTAATTTTATCTAAAGATTTTAAAATTTACAGTTGTTAAGATTATATAACAATTACTTTTATTTTCTTTCTTTGAGAAATTTTAGTAAATTTTCTTTACCTTTTATTACTAATAAAGAGTAAGAATATTTAAATTAAATTATTTGTTTGATTATATAATGGAGTATTTTACCTATTAAAAAAGATTTTTCTATTTTTACTCATTAATTATTGTTAATAATAAAGAGTTTTATAATTAAATTATCTATCATATAATGGTAATTTACTATAAAATAAATATTACGATTTAAGATTTTTCGAATTTAAAAATGTTTAGAATTTTTTTTTTTTCTGGAAAATATCAATCTTTTAAAGATTCAAGACTAATTATTTTAATGAGAATCATAACATATTTCATCTAGTTGACAAGCCTTTTGAGATTATAATTTGATACAAACAATAATTGAAGGAATATTAAAAATTACAAAATTAATTTAGTTAAGTTAAAAGTTTGCATGAACAAAAAATTAACTCAGTTAAAGTTAAAGTTAAAAATAAATTAACTAAAGTTAAATAAAAAGTTAATTTTTAAAAACATTATATTAAATTAGAATTTATTTATTAATTCTTTTAAAATTTATAATTATAAATAACAAAAAAATTTTGATTTTTATATAGAAATATATTTTTTGTAATTACAATTGATGACAAATAAATATAAAAATTAATAATACTTAAATTTAAAACTAATACGTTTATAACTTATAAAAAAACAATAATGGTATTCAGAGGTAAAAAAATTGAACTTGAGGAAAAAAATTAATAAGTTTAAGGTGAAAAATATATAGTTGAAGTTAAAAATTAATACATTTTAAATTAATTAAGCTAAATTAAAAGTTTTTAACTTTTAACTAATCAACTAGTTGTTACCCTACCCTGATAATAATATTATATATTGCTAGAAGAGATCTTTCTTACTTGGGGATGAAAAACTGGTCTTTCGTGCATTCCATGCGCAGGCCATTCTTTCCATTCGGTCTCATCTTTTTTGGTAGGTGCCTGATAAGTTGCACCCACAGTATACATTTTTCGCGTGACGGATCTGGTTTTCATGTATGGCATCGTGACTGATTTAATATGTTTAGCGGATTCATAATTTGCGCAAATTTCTTTCCTACTGTTGACTAATAATCGCTGTTTTGATGGAGGAAATTCCTTGTTCTTCTTGGATACCCGCATGGGATTTCGTCTCACTTCTACAATATCACGACTAAAAATGCATAGAGATATATTCTAATTCATTTAATATTAAATTTTTGAAATATTTTTGACAAGTAGTATAAATTAGATTTTTTATATATAATTGCTCTATAATGTAAATAATATTAAAAAATATTGAAAATTACAAAAATACTTAAGAAAAGAGATGTTGAATATATTAAAGTTTATTATATAGATAATAAATAAATCAATCGCAAAAAGGTGTTAAAATTAAATGAAAAATTTAATAAAAGAATTAAATAAAAAATTTAATGAAAACAATTTTGAGAATTTAAAACGCGTACGATAAAATGATTTAAAATCTAATTAATTAAAATATTGAAATATTATTTATTAAATTTTCATGAAAATTAATAGAAAATTAATTAAATATTCTATATAATATTATGCTTTTTTCCATGTATAACGCATATATATAATTATTTTCTCTATTAAAGTCAATTTTAAATAGAATTATTAAAAAATCAAGTATTATATTTATTAAAAATAGAAAAAATTCTTTGAATGAAAAATTTGTTATAATTAATCAATAACTATATTTTAATCAATAACAGTTTTGAAAATGTACCCAGGTAGCAAGTTGACGACATTAAACGTCAAAATGACGTCATTTTGACATCGAATTTGATATCAGCTTGCTACCTGGGTAATTTTATGTGTGATTTTATTTGTTACTCTAAATATGATTTTACATCGATTTATTATAAAAATCTTTCAATATTAAATATTTTTTAATATCTTTTAATATTAATATTTTTTAATATCTTTTAATATTTTTTAATATCTTTTAATATGAATATTTTTTAATATTAAATATTTAATATGCTCACGTTTTTTTCCTGGCCCGGATAAATCTTTTTGCTTTAGCAGCTATGCAACCGGAAGTCGAGCTGCTTCCACTGCTGTTTGTTTCTATCAATTCTCTGCAATCGCTATCCTCCCTGCTCGTCCTCGTTTCCTGTCTTATCACGACCGTATCAGGCGGTAATTTTCGTAGAATTTCCATATTTTCATAATGCGACCCGTCGTGCTGCAAATTGGATTCACTCTCTGCCATTCCTGCAAATTGTTGTCGCAGCATCATTTTGGAATCGCTGTCACTCAGCTCGATCAGCTGACGACCAGCTGGTTCTTGCTTCAATAAAGCCACCTCCGTCTTTCTGTCAGATATTTTCTTCCCGATATGACTAATCGACGCTGAACTCGAGATCAAGTTACGATACGGAATGTATGTTGCATTTTCGATATTTTCATTTTGATTTTTCCCCACAGATGAATCAATGTTCTTCGAGATTTCCTCTTTTTCTTGGGAGAAGCACTGTTCGTGCGAATTTTTCGGCGATACGTCCATTAACCTAAATTATTATAAGGTTAATTATTATATAAGATTGATTATTTTATAAGATTAAAATTATATAAGATTAATAATTCATGATAGAGTTTGCTTTTCTGCAACATTCATTCTGATATAATTTATAGTTAGATTTATTTTAAAAAATTCTTTATCTTCTGTGTATTTATATAGATAATTAAAAAAATAGAAAGTAAAATGTAAAATGCTATTAATTACATTTTAATATTTTTTTGCATTTAGAGCGAGAAAATTCTTCGTAAGCAATAAATAAATTAATAAAATAATGCAATTAAACTTTAGATATATTTTTGAGAAATATTATAAATTATACAATTACATTTTTTTATATATAATTGCTTTATGATGTAAAGTATGTAAAAAATTATTAAAAATATCAAAAAATAATACTCAACGAAAGAGAAGAAGAAACATTGAAATTTTATATACAATTTTTATATACAAATATAATATAATAATTAAATAAATCAGTCTCAAAAAGGTGTTAAAATATACCTTGCTAACTTTTATTCACTCTTCTTCTCGATTTCCTTGACAGGATCTCAATCAGCTTAGTAAAATTTCTGCTTCACCGAATATACATCTTTCGTTACAACAAAACTAGAAATTCGTATACTTGTAAAGCAACCGACACCGGCTAATTCTTGTAAGTATTTCGAAATGTTGAGATGAATGAAGATTGAGTGTAAAATTATCCAGATTAAGCGAGAGTTGATCCATATAAATCGGGAATAATTAAGGGAAAACACGGAGCGAAACGAAACGGAGCACAGTTTAGTCCATGTCAGCTATCACGGTAGTGTCGCCTTTCAGATGTTTCGTCCAAGGCCTGTTTGACAGATCGACAATTGAAGGTTCTCCCCGTGAAAGGAGAGCGTCAGATTTATCGGGAGACGTGAATGTTTTATTATTTTAATTTAAAAATCTGGAAATTGGGGTAAACGTACAGTTTCGTGAACTAGATAAAATCCTGAGCAAAGATATGCATTTTTTTATATTAAACTTTTATGTCTTAAAGATATAAATTTATACATAATAAAGTGAAATATCTAGATTTTAGCAAAAATCAATGTCCTGAAATTGTTCTCAAAATGTATAAGAATTTTTGTTAGAATTTTTTTAGAGCTCTAGTTAGATTTATTAGAATGTAAATAATTTATTTTAATTTAAAAATCTTGATACTTTTTTTTAGGTAAATGTATAGATTCGTAAACTTGACAAATTCTAAAAATATATATGCATTTTTTAAATTAAACTAAATATTTTAAAGATACAATTTTATACAATAAAATGAAATATATAGATTTTAGCAAAAAAATACACCTCATATATGAAATTTAATCGTATTATTATTATCATATTATTTTACTATTTGAAGTTAAAAGTAGTTTAATATCAAAATGTTCCGAATAAAAATGTATAGGAATTTTTTGTTCAAGAACTAGTAACTTTATATACAGTAGTATATATAAAAAAATGTTTCTTATATAAAAAATTTAATTATTAAAATAAATTTCCCGATTCAGCCAACTTTCGGACCAATATTTTTCTCGTCTATTTCTTTACAGGGGATGTTAAGAGAAGGAACAAGGGAAATTTCTGAGATCCCAACCATAGGATTCAAATTCCTTAGTTTCCAAATTTTCTTATCCTAATTTGTCGCAATAACATCGCGTGTGGCTCTTTAGTCGAGATGAATATGGTGGTTTTAAAATAAATTTCTTATTAAAATTAATTTTAATTTATACAACTTATATAATATTTTTATGAAAGATATCGATTTAATTATTAAAATTAAAGTCTATGTCTTATGCCCTATTGATTGTTAAAATTAGTAATATGTATATATTTGCAAAATATAATTTTTAAATAAAATCTGCCATTAAAATCTTTTCCGCCAGTTTTGGAACATCCTGTATAAAATAAGATAATAAATTAAAAAATAAAAATAAAAAAAATAAAAACAAATATATAACCAATATATACATATAGTAAAATTAACAAATATATAGAATAAATTAAAATAATAATTTATATTGTGTACGAAAAGATGGATACGTAAAATAAAGAAATATAATTCTAAATAAGGGCACGTTTTAATGATGATATTCATATACCTTCTTCCACGAGACACATTTCATTATTTTCGGCAAGAATTATGTAATTTATTATTTGTTGTTTTGCAAAAGTATAATTACGATATGAAATTAATGGCATTATATTGTTTAATTGTGTAAAATTGATATTAAGATTTTCTCTTTCTTCGAAATATGTAGTGCATAATAAATCTTTTGATCGATACCATCCAATTATCACACTACCGTTACAATTATTTTGATGTTTATCACTATGTTTTACGATCATTCCGATCGCAAATTTTACGTTCTCGTGACTTATATTTAATTTCTTGGTTTTTATAAAGCAAAGGTGGAACTGGAAAGTGCAAGATTAGACTTTAAATAATTATTCTTGTCAATTGATTCCTCAATAGATTTTTATAGCACGTTAAAGTACAGTACATAACATTAAAATAATAAATAATAATAATATATAATTTGTAGTAATTGTACGTGCGTTATCATAGAGAAACCACAAAGATATTATTATTATTATTATTATATGTATATCAATATGCAACATATACATATATATATATATATATATATATATTTATTTATTGAATTTTTAGTGTCTTATCGTGTGGTCATGCACGCTGCGTCGCGGAAACTCGCCTGAGGCGAAGAAGATGCGGAACGCAGGTTCGAGCCCAGACATAATACGTATAAGAAAATTAGTCATACGGTGGCTGCGTCACCGATGGCAATCAAATTTTCATTTGGAAATACACAGCTGTTACATATTCCATGGTTATATCTTATTTGCAAATGTCTCATTATCCCGTGCTCTCGAAATTCCATCGTCGCTATGGTGTCTATCTATTGGCATCAACTGGAATGGAATATACTGATTGTCTATCCATTCAAACACAAGCTCATTGGAACGCTCAGCGTCACGAATAATTTAGAAAATGCATGATGTATTAACATATAAGAGGGTTTCCCGCTTGTGTTATAATCTAGGAAATTACGAGAATAGGCTTTCTTGTGCTCACTCCAGATTCAAGTGCTCGTTTCGAGTGAACACATGAAAGCCCATTCTCGTAATTTCCTAGATTATCGTTAATACAATCCGGGAAACCCTCTTATATGTTAAAACATCGTGTATTTTCTTTTATAAATTATTCGTGACGCTGTAAACAATTAAAATATTACTTCAATCATTATGAAAATTTTTATAATAAAAATTATATATGTATGCGTATAATAAAAAAAAAGAAAGATTATCGAGAAATAATGATAATGTCGATTCTAATATATATCTATACTTACAATTTTGGTTTCCAAAATATACATAATTGATCAATAACAACTAGTACATCGCAACGTAGACCAAGTCTTCTAGCCACGCTATGAAATATTGTATGTACAATGATATCTTGACCAAATTTACTTTGTAAAACCTGTGCCAGGTATAATACAGAATAAATTAATTAAAGCGAGAGAATATTAAAAACAACATATATAACATATCCTACAAAAAAAGACATCACAGATGTAAAAAAAAGCGCTAAGTTATATCTTTCGCCAGCAAAAATAGTTCTTTATAATAATAAAAAATATTATCTTCTCAAAAATTATGTTTTTAGGAAAAATAATTCTTTGCAAAAACTAATCACCATCAAAAATATTTTCTCAAAAATTATATTTTATTTTTGTTAATAATACTAGAAAAAAATTAAAATATTAGCATCAAAAAGTAGTGAAATCAAAAAATTGCGCTAAATAATTATATTGATAATACGAAAAAAAAGGTTAAAATATTAGCATCAAAAAGTAGTCAAATCAAAAAGTTGCACTAAGTAAGTGACAACATAATATATAATATTTAGATAAATTTCCTATAATGATACAAATGTATAATTATTGCTTTATTTTAAAACGTTTATAATATATACAATAACCAAATAAATTCAGTAAAATATATATATATATTTATTTATCTTTACATTTAAATAACATGAATAATTATGTAATTAATTTACACTGGAATGTATATACATTGTAAAGTTATTATATATTTTGATAAAATATTTAGATAAATATAGATATATATAATAAAATAAATTATTATTTACATTTTTTTACATCTGTGATGTCTTTTTTTGTAGGATTTCACATATTTTTGCAAAGTTCATTAAAAGATATAATAAAAAATATGTATATGTAAACATATATCTATGTTTACGTACGCACATGCTTGTGTACTTAGATATGTGTATGTATGTGCATGCGTGTAGCTTTTATAGTGACTCTCAATATATTTTATACTACAGTTACTTTAGATAAAAATTGAGCGATACCTCAGAAAAAATGTTAGCAAACTGAAGTTTGGTAAAGACTTTCGTTTTTGCATGAAATTAAAGAAAAAAGTTTATCATTGTACAGTGGCCGCTAAAAAATAAAATTAAACAATTAGTACCCAAATTCTGTTATTTGCATGAAGTATTCTATAACTTTTTTCGTATAAGCTAAACTTTTTACTTCAAAAATTTACAAGTTGTTTATTGCGGTGTATTGACAAAACGTGGTGGAACGTGCCAACAGACGTTATGTAGATTAAAGTATTGCATGCGCGCACAAAAATGTCATAACTTTTGAATAAATTATCGAACAGAAATGAAAAAAGAACCGTTGAAAATCTGGAGATTTCAGCTTTTTAATGTAATTTGTTTTGTTATTTTATGGTAAATTTTCTAAATTTCTAAGACTATCTGTTACTAATTTAATAAAAGAAGACAAACATTACATGTAACATTTTGCTTAAACTATCGTAATTTTTTAAAGTATTAGCGTAGAATAACAAAAGATTGCATTAAAAAGTTGAAATCTTTGGCCTCTCAACTCAGACTCTCAACTCTC